CTTGAAAAAGGACTTGCATTAGGTAAAGATTAAGAAATGCCCTAGTTCAACAGCGATATCTTAAAAATCAAACAAAAAAGCTGATCAAAGACAAAAATTTTTAAAAGGCAAAAAGAGAAATCAGAGAAACCCCCAAAATTAAAGTGCCTGGATCTCATTATATTACATTAATTAGTCCATGAAAACATTCGATATCAACAATATTGATTGTGCCAAATACTATACGGGATTGTCAAATGACAAGTACCTACTAGCTGCTAGCGTGATAAGTTTCAACTCCAGAGCTGGTTTTCTTGACAAAAAAAGAGTATTGGACAAGATAGGAAGAGAAAGAAGGTGTGTGTGCTTTCTACTCTAATCATGGTGAAGTGGCTAGAAATTTGGTGTCTGGTTTTACCAGTGAAGGACATTGAATCTGAACCAGGCATGATAGTTCACCTATAATCCCTAGCACTCAGGAGATGCAGGCAGGATTGTGAGTTCAAACGCAACCAGGGCTTTATGGCATGATCTATTTCACCTGAGACAAGCAAGGCAAAACTATATATATATATATATATATATATATATATATATATATATATATATATATATATATATATATGTATGTATGTATTAGAATAGTTTAGATTTCCTGGAGTTTACTTGATTGCAAATATTTCTAAGACTGTCCATGTTTATCTTCTGTCATAGTTATGGGCAGGACAAAAAAAAAATGTATCTATAACTAAGAATAGTAGGCTTTGTCTCTCCCAACCTCTGCCTCTTCTTCCCCCTTCTTAAGTAGAGACTAGGGGTTTTATTTAGCTCACTGTTCTGGGGGCTATGACATCCAAGAATGTAACATTGGTTTCAACTGTCATTTCTTGATACATCTTAATATAGCAGAAGCATCACATGGTGACAGAGTCTGGTTAATTTTTTGGTTAAACAAACAAACAAACAAACAAAAAACCCACAACTCCTTAACCTACTTTTTTTTTTTTTTGTCCGCTTACTAACTTTTAGACATTTTGATTACATTTAGGCCTTTTTTGTTTCTTGGTTTTGTTTGTTTGTTTTTCCAGACAGGGTTTCTCTGTGTAGCCTTGGCTGTCCGTAGACCAGGGTAGCCTCGAACCCACAGAGATCTGTCTGCCTCTGCCTCCCAAGTGCTGGGACTAAAGGTGTGCACCACCATGCCCAGCATATTTAGGCCTTTTTGCCTTAAGCATCAGAACGCCTTTTGCTTGTTCGGAATCACAGTGAGCTAGAGCCTGGCTGTGTTAAGTTTTAATTCATCTCGACACAAGCTAGAGTCCTTTTCCTCTGGGGAAAAGAACTCCCAGTTGAGAAATCGCCTCTGTAGATCAGCCTATAGGCACATCTGACAGGCGTTTTCTTGATAAATTACGTGGGAGGGTCCATCCCGCTTGTGGGCAGTGCCACCTCTGGACAGGTGGTCCTGGGCTGTGTCAGAAAGTAGACTGAACAAGCCAGTAAGCAGCGTTCCCTATGGCTACTGCGTTCTTTTATGATGAACTGTGATTTGGAACTGTATGTTGAAATAAATCCTTTTTTTTTTTTCCAAGACGCTTTTGGTCATGATGTCTTATCACAGCAATAGAAACCACAACCTAAGATAGACTTAGCCTCTGCCCTCTTAGTACTGCTTCCTTCGAGTCCAATAATTACTCACTACTGTGAAATTCCGCTTGCATTTTCATTGAAGTTGGGTCAGAGAAAAAAGATATTTTGGGGCTGGAGATGGCTAAGTACTTAAGAGCACCATCCGCTCTTTCAAAGGACTCAGGTTCAATTCCACATGACAGCTTTCAACTGTTTATAACGCCAACTCCAAGGGATCTGACACCTTCACACTAATGCACATAAAATAAAATTTAAAGAAATTATTTTTAAAAAGATATTTCAATTTTTTTTTTCAAGACAGGGTTTTTCTGTGTAGCCTTGGCTATTCTGAACTCACTTTAGAGACCAGGCCTTGAACTCACAGAGGTGTGCCTGCCTCTGCCTCCCTGAGTGCTGGGGTTACAGGCATGTGCCACCATGCCCAGCCAATATCTCAATTTTTTAAAAATGGGAGAATAGAAGATTCTATTCTTTCAGAAAGTCAGTGTGAAGCTGGATTTGGTGGTACACACTATAATCCCAGTGCTTTGGAGGTAGAGGCAGGAAGATTATGTATTCAAGGCCACAATCTCTATTCTTTCTCATTCTACCTTAGATATACAATTATGGTAACATCAAAACTACAAAGTGGGACCTGCCACTGTTCTCCTCCCCCTCAAAAAGAGTTGGTATAAAGGGATAGATTTATTTTTCCAACAGTAAGCTCAGAGTCTTAATCCAATAATAATTTCACTGTAAAGCCCTATTTTTAGTACTGAAGAAATAATAGATTCAGCTATATGACACAGTGGTGTCAGAAAAGTAACTATCCTGGATTGTGATTGTTTTTAAGTACGTTTCTTATTGCATGTCTGTGGACAAATTGTGCTGCCCTCCCAAAGGTCAGTTTCAGTCATCATTCTCCCGGAACTGCCCATGTTTTTGAGACAGCTAGTCCCAAAGACCCTGTTTCCACCTTCCCAGCAAACCCCACCCACCACCCCACCAGCTCTTTTCCTGTGGGTACATACTGTCTAACTCAGGTCCTTACACTTTTACAGCATTTTACCAACGGAGCTGTCTCTCAAGCCTGAAGACTGTCATTCTTGACTCCCACTCCACTCTCAGATTTTGCATCCTTACAGCCCTTGGGCTTCGAGTAGCTTCCCTGATTTGCACAACCAAGTTTGGTGACAGCTTTTGTCGGTTTGACACAAACTAGAGCAGCCTGGGAGGAGGAAACCTCAGTTGAGGAGTTGCTGTCATCAGATTGGCCTGTGGGGCATTTTCTTGATTAATGATTGATGTGGGAGGGCCCAGCCCACTGTGGGAGGCACCATCCCTAGGCAGGTGAGCTTGGGCTGAGTAAGAAAAGTAGGAAGAGAGCAAACCAGTAAGCAGCATCCAGCAGTCCTCAGCTTTAGTTCCTGCTTGGCTTCCCGTAATATGAAAACAATGCCCTCAGTTTATCATAACAAATTCAAGGAGCCTAGAGAAAATAAAGCCATTTTTGGTATGCCATTCTGTAGAAAGGGATAGCAGCATAAAGAAAGGCAAAGCAAGCCAGGTTTGGTGGTGCATGCCTTTAATCCCAGCAGGACACCCAAGGCTACACAGAGAAACCCTGTCTAGAAAGGAAAGAAGAAAGAAAGGAAAAAAAAAAAAAGGCAAAGTGGCTGGTGTGTCCATTGGTGCAAGACAGTGGTTTTGAAAGTTCCTGGTCTCGAGAAACCTGTTCTCTTCTTCCCATCAGCTATTGGTTCAGGACACAAAGCCTTCGCTAGTGAGTATTCGGGGGCTCAGTCACAGAGCAGGCTGCCTGCAGCTTCCCATCTCTGAGAGTTGTAAGACAAGCAGGCAGTGTCTGGGGTAAGATGGCAGTGAGCTCATCTTGCTTGCCCGAGACACTTTGATGAGCTCTAACTGTACCTCATGCTAAAAATGGACCAGAATGATCTGCCCCTCACACTGGTGATGGAGTGTTTCCAGGAGTGTAAACCAAATGAACCCTTCACTCCCCAGGCTGCTTTGGTCATGGAGTTTATCACAGCAGCCAGAGTAGCAAATTAGGGCAGCTGTATCCTAGAAGCATGCCAGTGGGGCCTACAGAAATCAGCAAAAAGTGACACAGTGGTGCCCACAGCTTATTTGTCTCTTGTCTCTGCTGTGTTGCTCCACTGTCACCGGAGGGCTTCCAACAGGAACATTCTGTCCACTCTGAGCGGCTGCTCACATAGACCACAGTTCCAGGCTAGCTCTGTCTGTGTACCTTGACTGTGCTAGCCTTTCCCAGCAGCACTGTCTCTGCATGTAAAACAAGGATAGCATTGTATTCACGGGGCGATTAGCGGAGCCTGGAGCTTGGTAAGCTACCGTGTTTGAATAAACTTTCTTCTGATTAGTCACTCAGCTTTTATGTGCCTATAGTTTCTTCTGATTCATTCAGGAGTTTCCAAGGCTGTTAAGACAACTTTCAGGAATTGTTTCTTTCCTTTTACTGTGGGGTCCTAGGCCTGGAACCCAGGTTCTCAGCCTTGGTGGCAAGAATCATACTTGCTGAGCCATCTCACTGGCTCTTTGTTTTATCTTTGAGACAGGCTCTCATCATATAGCTCAGGCTCAAACTGCCAATTCTCCTGCCTCCATTTCCTGGAATTGTGAGTATAGCCACCACACCCAGACAGTTATCCAGCTTTAATTCTTTTCCTTTCTTTCTTTCTTTCTTTCTTTCTTTCTTTCTTTCTTTCTTTCTTTCTTTCTTTCTTTCTTTCTTTCTTTCTCCTTCCTTCCTTCCTTCCTTCCTTCCTTTCTTCCTTCCTTTTCTTTTCTTTTGGTTTTTTGAGACAGGGTTTCTCTGTGTAGCCCTGGCTGTCTATCCTAGACTCCCTTTGTAGACTAAGCTGGTCTCAAACTTACTGCCTCCCAAATGCTGGGGTTACAAGTGTGTGCCACTATGCCTGGCTAATTATTTCTTTAGACATTACTGATTGTTCTCTCTCTACTTTCTGTGCCCTCTGTAGTTTACATATATGACTATGACATCTAAATATTTCATTTGTACTTATTTATTTAAATGTCCTTCTCTCCAGAACCTAAGAGGGAGAATTATGTGTAAATGTCTCTATAGCATAATGCTTATCAAATGGCAGGCAAAATCAGGAGTTTGGTTGAATTAACTACACTAACCCAAAGATGTCTGGTGGCTTCGAATAAACTTACACATTCTGACGAAAGAATGTGAAGGGTGGAGAGGAAAATTACCATACAAAATGGTTACGTTCTTATTTCCTTATAAAAATAGTAAGGAAATCTGAAAGGACCTCAGGGAAGCTGATTCTATGTGATCACGAGGAAGAATTGCATACAGAGTTAACATGAATCCTCTGTCCTAGGTATTCTCCTTTTTCTTCATTGGCCTGATGTCTATTATGATACCCCTGTGCAGCATCTTTGGGGCCCTCATTGCTGTCTGCCTCATCATGGGTCTCTTCGATGGATGCTTCATTTCCATCATGGCCCCCATTGCCTTTGAATTAGTTGGTCCTCAGGATGCTTCCCAAGCAATTGGATTTCTACTTGGATTCATGTCTATACCCATGACTGTGGGTCCTCCAGTTGCAGGTAAATATAAACATTCTATATTAATTGTTCTAATTCATAGCATTTTCTACTGTGGATCCTAAACCTCATTTACTTGTGAAATATATTTAACATATTTTTAATAATCCTTTGTATGCTTTCTCCCATTCATTTTTTGTTTGTTTTGGGTGAGAGGCTTTTGTTTGTTTGTTTGTATGTTTGTTTTTTAAGACAGAGTTTGTCTGTGAAGTTCTGGCTGTCCTATAACTCACTCTGTATATCAGGCTGGCCTCAGACTTAGAGATCTGACTGCTTTTGCCTCCTGAGTGCTGGGATTAAAGCGTACACCACCATCCTCTGGCTCCTTCTCATTTTAAATAAGACTCTCTGTTAACAATAAGTTGAAAAAGTTTGTTGGGGAGCATTCTGTGTGTGTGTGTGTGTGTGTGTGTGTGTGTGTGTGTGTGTGTGTGT